AGCCGCGCTTTACGAACCACCGTGAAACTGTGAACTGTTGTTATTGTTGTTGTTGTGACGTTAATGCGTCGCGTTCGTTGAAATTAATCCTTTGAACGAACGCCACCGTCGCGACATCAACGTAAATTAAGTTAAATTTAATGTTAATAACAACAATACACTGTGTGTTTCTCTTTATTCCTATAATATTCATTGTTTTTCGGAAGTAATTGCGGAAAATAATCTTAAACTTGACTCCCGGTCAAAGGACTTACTTGATGCGGGCCCTTCTCTTAAATAAATTCAATATCCAAAACTCGAAGATGAATTGTTATCAAGAAATTACGTTCGTTTGTATACACACTCGTTCTCGAAAAAGTTCGAAAAAAAAAAAAAAAAAAGAGCTGAAATTCTCGATTAAAAAAAATTCCTTTCTCCACGAAATGGAACGGATGGAAATTGGGCGAAAGGGCGTGGAAAAAAAAATCGATCGATCGATCGAAGATTAGCCGTTTAGTAACTTTTCCCGATTTTCGATGGATGGAACGCGTGCACGCTTTCTTTCTCAAAGAAGAACAAAAAGAGAGAGAGAGAGAGAGAACAATTTCGCAATCATTTCCTCAAAGCTTTCTCATTTATTTATACATAGAAAACATCGTCCACGGTGGATTCTCGCACCGGCCTGTAAAAAAACAGGAGGGAAGACAGAAACTATTCCGTTTCGCGAAGAGAGAATGGCCTCCTCCTTCGAACAAGGAGAGCGAAGCGAAAAACGAACAGCGCCGAATTAACTAGCGGCACGAGCCCTACCACGTGCCATCCTCGACGAATCGCGAGCGTCCTCGCGTGTCGTTAAATTTCGAATCGAACGCGCAAGGAAGGGGAAGCCCCCTCCCTGCCTCTCTCTCTCTTTCTCACTCGAGGGAATTGCTCACCTCGCTGTTGTGACTCCAGATCATCATGGGCGGTGGTTCCGGGGCGTACTTCACCACGCAGGTTAAGTTGATCGTGCTACCCTTGTTGACGTACAGATCGGGCGCTCCTACGATGATGGTGATCGGTTCTGAAACGTAAGTTTTTTTTTTTTCCTTTTTTTTGGCGGATTCGTTTCAATTCGACAACAACGAAAAACAATATCTAAATTCTGATCGTCGATGATAAGAATTATAATAATAATAATCGGAATTACAACGATGATATCATTTCAACATCATTTTTTTACTTTTGTATTCTTATAACTTTGATCAAGAATTCTTTTATGTATAAAAGTGTGCCAATAATTTTTAAAATAAAATGTGTTTCGAATAAAAAAATGACGATGATTATTTGAAAAAGTGGATGTTTTTTATCGGGATGATTTTTAAATACTTTATGAAAATCAATATTTTTAATATTGTAACAAAAAAAAAAAGAAAAAAGATGTGAGCACATTTACGGGCGTTATTTTTGTTATCTCTTTAACGTAAACATACACAACAGGGGAGTGAACAAGGCAAGTGGAAACATGTATGAATTAATCGAATAACAGCGGAGATGCGAAAATAAAATATCCTTGACGATTATTATACGAAAATTACAATAATAATTGAAATTATAACGAGTATCAATATTATTTATTTATCTTTTGATATCTATCTATTGTGTATCTCGATTTTTACAACTTTGATCGCTCAAAGAATTCTTTTATACATATGTATTTCTTTTCCTTTGCATCCCACGCATTTTAAATAATGGACCAACAAATTTTTTATCATCCATTCCTATATAAATAAAAATTATTCATCACCTACAATTAAAATATCAAAAGTTCACGCTAAGCAACTTTTATTCCTAGCTATTTTCGTTTAATTTTACTTTTTAATATAGTTTGAGCCTTATATATATATATATAAATAAGTATTTTTTCTCGAAGCATTTTTAACATTTTCGTTTTAAATTGAAACGACGACTCGAGGAATGTGAAAATATATATATATATATATTATTTTTTTTTTCGAATTTCGAATCGAAAGAAAAATATTTTTAAAACGAGATATCGAAAAAGGATCGAACGATGCGAGAGAAATACGAAAGCGGAAGCGTTTCGTTGGCGAAGCGTTTTCAGGTCAAGTCAGCGCGATAAGATCTCTCTCTCTCTCTCTCCCTCTCTCGTTTAATACTACGAGAAGGTGAGGAGGATATCGGACCAGTCATTAACGGCGAGGATATACGAGCTCGCGGACGGCCTCGTTTCAAACCCGCCTTTGTAACGCTCGCGTGAAATCTTCCGCGTATCCTCGATTAATCCCCCTCCCTACATACACATTTATCTTCTAACCGAATTTCAAACGCGTCGATCGAAAAATACGCTGCTATTCCCTTCTCTTCTATTTCGTATCGGGTTACTTCAGCTTTTCTCCTTCTAAATATCTCTCCTTAAATGTATTTACGCGGATGGAAAGAATATCGCTCGACCGGTTAATTTCGCTTCAAAGCCTCCTCTCCTCTACTACTTTGCGCGCGCTCTCGAATTTTGAATTTTTTCACAAAGGCTCTTTTTACGCGTGAAGGTGGGGAAAGTAAAAGGTAGTTTTTTTTCCTCCCATTTTAAAAAAATATTCGAAAGATCGTTTCTCGAATGGCGAAAGCGTGCCCTTTGCAAACCAGTCTCCCTGCAAATTGTTTTTCCTCTTTAAACTTTTTTTCTTCTTTATCGACGATCGAAAAACGAGCAGCCAGACTCGTTGCTTTCGTCGAATTTCATAAAAGATTTATATATTAATTTATGATAAGTTTTATTATCGTACGAATTGTTACGTTTTGATAAAAGTATCAAAGGTGGAAGAAGCTCGTATTGGCCAACTGATTAAATTATTGGTGAGGTATTAAACGCTTTCGACTAATTCCCCGGATATGAAAATTCCTTGACAAGGAAATTAATTTAATCGAGCGTGACGAGATTTCATACGCTTTGATACTTGTTGAAAAGCGGAGGACTTCAAAATTTGAGGAACGGCTGCTCTCGAAGACGCGAATAGAAAAACTGGAGAAAAGGAGAAAGGAGATATCAAAATAGTTTGAAATAGTTGCACTTGGAAAGTTATTTTTTCTAACGCGGTTCAAAAATTCTTATAAATCCATTTCTACATTTTGAAACTCTACCAACCAACTCTAACCAACTCAAGCTCGTTCTCAAGAGTTTAACGGATGATAGTCCTTTCTTTCGAGAAAAAAAAACTTCTCCTCGACTTCGAGGGAAATAAAGTTTTCCATCTTCGTTTGAAAAGATTCTCTCTTACCGACTATAGTCAGGTAAACGGGATGGCCGATGGGCGGTGTCGTTGATATTTGGCACTCGTAGATCCCGGAATCCTTGCGCTGCGGATAACGTATCCTCAACGTCCATTCCTCGGCGTGGGGGAGGTGCAACGCCTCGAACCGTTGGTCGCTCGTGTACGTGTAACGGCCGACAGTCAACAGATGTATGTCTCGATGCCTCACCCAGGAAACCTGAAACCAAAAACGATAAACTAACTGCCATAAAAACAAACGATATTCCTTCTCTCTCTCTTCTCTCTCTCTCTCTCTCTCTTTCTCTCTGTGCAGAGCTCGAACCAATGTCAAAATTTATCCATCACGAAGTTGGTGATGTTTCTTAGAGTTTAAGTACGCCGTCCACAACAATATTCCTCTCTCTCTCTTTCTCTCTGTGTAGCTCGAACCAATGACAAAATTTATCCATCACGAAGTTGATGTTTCTTAGAGTTTAAGTACGCCGTCCACAATGAGCCTTACTTGTATAATAATTTTCCTCAAGTAGGATTGACGAGGGTATGTATCATTTATCCAAACGTCTTAACACCCTTTTAAATTGTCGGGAGGAGAAAATAGGATTTTCAATTTTACTTCACTCTCTCTCTCTCT